CAGTGGAGTTTCTTTTACAGTAATTTGCTATTTAAATGTATATAACTGTCAAAAGTTTGGGGTCAGTATTTTACTTTAAAAAGTACTTTTATTCAGAAAGAATGCATTAAATTGATTAAAAGTGACAGGAAAGACTTTAAAAATGAGAAAAGATTTCAAATAAAAGTACTGAGAACTAGTTTTCCTTGAGGTAGGTGTCTGGGAGTTTTGGAGATGGCACAGACTGAGCAGCTCTTGACAAACTGGGAGACCTCCCGGGCCATGTTGGGCCACCAGTAGCGATTTTGGAAGAGTGAGAGGGTTTGCTGGCTGCCTGGATGTCCAGAGCCCGGAGATGAATGAACTGAGTCCAAAAGGGTAAGTTGCAGGGTTTATGTCACAAGTCCTTCCTTCTGGACTTCCCGGCGGAGCAGGTTCAGAGCGAGTGGTTTCCGTGATTTGGTCATCCAGAGACCACTGGATGGGACTCATAATCAAGGCTGGAGGGAGTATAGGTTCGGGAGGGTAGTTATTGTCATCTGAGAGATGGATTCGGGAGAGTGCGTCTGCTTTCTGGTTCTTGGAGCTGCGATGGTAAGTGACTGTAAAGTTGAAACCGGGTGAAGAATAGAGCCCAGCGGGCTTGTCAGGGATGGAGTCATTTGGCATTGTGAAGATATTCCAAGTTACTGTGATCCGTAATCACTTTAAAAGGATGATTGGCTCCCTCAAGCCAGTGTCGCCACTCCTCTAGTGTTAGCTTGATGGCTAGAAGCTCTCTGTTGCCAATGTCATAATTCTCCTCCGCCGGGGACAATTTTTTGGAATAGAAGGCACATGGGTGGAGGATAGGAGGCTCTCCGTGACGTTGAGATAAAACAACCCCAACCCCTACTGTTGAAGCATCCAGCTCCACAATGAACGGGAGATGGGGATCCGGGTGTGTGAGGGTAGGAGCGGTACAAAATGCCTCTTTGAGCTGGTGGAAAGTGTCGATGGCGGCAGGCGTCCAAGACAGAGACTTGGGCTTACTCCTAAATAGCGAGGTGATTGGTGCACAGACATGGCTGAAATTGGTGATGAACCGGTGATAGAAGTTGGCAAAGACCAGGAATCGTTGAAGTTCTTTGATGGTGCTTGGTTGCGGCCATGGTTGCTGCCACTTGTACCTTCCTCTGGTCCATGTGAATGCCATGGTGGTTGATCACGTATCCCAGGAACTGGACAGAATTACGGTGAAACTTGCACTTCTCCAGTTTGAGATAGAGGTGGTGTTCTCTCAGCTTCTGAAGGACCTGCTTCACACGGTGGCGATGTTCGGCCAGGTTCCGGGAGAAAATGAGGATGTCATCGATGTACACTATGACGAAGCATTGGAGCTACTCCCGGAACACCTCATTCATGAATCCTTGGAAGACCGAGGGTGGGGCCATAAGGTTACCACAACCTGATGGTGGTGGCCAGATGGTGTCATGAATGCCATATTCCATTCATCACCCTCCCGGATCTGAATGAGGTTGTAAGTGCTGTTCTGGGATGGGTAAATTCTGCCCTTTGGCAGTGTGGCCCCATGCAGCAGGTCAATGGCACAGTCCCATGGCTGGTGAGGTGGTAATTCCATGGCTGCCTGTTTATTGAAAACATCCTGGAACGCCTGGTAGTCGGGAGCTATTTCTTGAGTTGTTGAAGTTGCTGGACTCTCAATCGAAGTGGAACAGAGGGGCCACCTTACTAGGCATGGATGAAGGAAGTGCAGGCTTCGGAACGGACGATACACAGTTCTGAAAACAGTATTCACTCCATTGCAGGATCTTACCAGTATTTCACTTCACATTGGGAGAGTGTTGGGTTAACCAAGGGCATCCCAGGATGATGTCGCAGTTAAACCTTCCAGCGCCAGAAATGAGATGCAGTTCATGATGCAGACGCGTGATTGTGGGAGAGCAGTACAGGATCTTGCCTTTGCCCATCAGTTTTCCCAAGATGGTGTAAATATCTAGTGGTTGTTGACAGGTTTTCCTTTTGAGGTTGAATTGTCGGAGGAGATTCAGTGAGATGAAGTTCCTGGAGGATCCCAAGTTGAGAAGGGCTTGCGCTGAAACAGATTGGTGAGTACTGTAGAAGTTACCAGCACAATAGTGCGTGACAGTTGTGCAATTATGGGTTGTAACTGAAGGGTACTCACCACTGGGCGTGGTGGACAGACTGGGCAGGCTTTATACTGTGGTTGATTAGTGCAAACAGGTGAGGAGAATCCGAACTCTGGTGATTGTGCGTTGGATCTGGCGTTGCTGGTGACTCCGTGCAGAGGCGTTATGCCCATTCAAAGTGAGGGGGCATATGCCCCCTCAGATTTTTGAGCCAAGTGGATTTTGAATGCAGCTTCCAAAAGACAAAAAATAGCCGATTAATATAAAATCAGCGTTCGTTGCTGGCGCTGAGCCAGAGACAGACGCGTTTGTACAGCATTGCGCATTATAACCAATCACACACTATGCTGTTGAGCTTATGAATGCAAAGACCAATCAGAGGTGTTCAGATGAGTCATCTTCACTCGCTCGCTGACTGAATAGCTCTTTCTGACAAATTCTCTCGTCAGAAACAACAAAGTGCAAATGTGTGTACGAATCTATAAGATACTAATTTCATAGTGTAAACAGCTTCAGTGATTTTAATGGGAGTTTTTGAGAGTGCTTGAACTCGTCATATTAAAAATATGTTATGGCATGACACCCATATATGTTAGTAAACAGACAGGTTTTTATGCATAGCATAGTTAATATATTATACTATTAGGTTACTTTGACCATCGCCCAATATAGATCAACATAATCTATAAAGGTAAGAATCAAGATATTTCATGATAATTAAGTTTGGGAATGTTTTGAATAAAAAGGAAAACATTAAAAGATAAGTGCTGTTGTGGCTGCTGTGTGTCACATGGTGACCCCTCCCCCCCCAACTCGTGCCCCCTCAAAAATAATGAGTGCATGACGCCCCTTGGCAGCAAGGATGCAATTGTACGAAAACTATACAGGTCATGATATTGCTTCAATGGCATTACTGTATGCAGTAAAAAAAATAAAAAATAATTAATAGCTTTTTCAATTTAAGCTAGATATAGGGAAAATTAAACTCTGGGGAGTTTGCATTAATAAGAATAACAGTGTGCTGCGTTCAATGTCAGCTGAAGGCACCAAGGGGTTCAGGTGTTTGATCAGACGCTAATCAATTGGGAATGCAGCAGGGAGAGGCGTGAGCACCATTGATTTTGCTCTTCTGCAGAGCACAGCTAACACAGTGTTAAAAGCCACTTTCCAAATAAACAAATGGCCACACCACTGGGGTTTGTAATAGGAAACACTGACTCATTTCAAACAGTTTCATCATTTTTATTCTCCTGTCGCAATGAACGACTGTATATACAACAACCTGTGAAAGAATATGGTGATAAAAGACAGCTCCACTTGTGTAACAGTTGTCAGTTTGTTCATGTATTTGCAATTACAGTGCAACATGTTTTAATATTGCTGTCAGTTGTTAGCTTTCATCTTTTTGGTGTTTTGGAAGCCTGTCTCTGAGAGCACTAATCAGGGTGTATGACCCTAGAAAATTAGTTGAACTCCATCAGTTAACCCTGTTTACTTGGTTCATGTTCAAGAATTGGATCAAAGAATTTATTTGGCTCAACATCTTGCCACTCTGTCAATGATTCAAGAGTAATTTGTTCAGACACTAGAAAAGTCACTGGAGAACTCATAAGAACAAAACAAAGTTTTTTCCCCTTAGTAAAGAAGTAGTTTCTAAAACAATAGGTTTCATCTAACAAGACCTCTCTAATACCTGAGGGAAAAACATGAGCAGCAGCAAACACTGACCTTTCTAACCTATTGTACATTGTGGAGGTGAGGCAATTTAAAACAACTATGGTGATCCTGCACCTTCAGAAGGTTAAGGGGGAAACTGGCATGAAATTCATTGTGTATCTGAATTATTCACCAAGTGTAATTTTTTTTACAGAAGTGTCTCCTATTAAGGCAGAGGGTAAATTGTTCCCTTACTTGCCCTGAAGCCAAAAGCTCATTTTACATCCTTTCAGTGACTCGAGTGGAACTGCATGGCCTGCTTTTAATTGTCTCAACTTTAGATTGTGAATGTGTTTTCTGCTAGCCCTTTGAACTCAAAGCTATTTATTTAAATGTTTCTCTCAAAAACATAAAAACAATCTTATGGACCCCAAACTTTTGAACAGTAATATACTGTATGTGTGTACTGTCATGTGACATTGTTATACTGTGGTTGAAAGTAATTAATTTAAAAGGAAGTTACATCCTTTCACAGTATGCACATATTTTACAGCAATTTCACATAGTTTTTATAGTAATACATAACATGAAGGAGATATGCAAATGTACTGAGAGGCATTTCTGCACCTGAGCACTTTAATACATTTATTTGTTCATCTTCAGTTGGCAGTAACCCTGAAGACACAAAAGAGGATGCATTTTCTTTGCACATAGAGGGGTCAGCATAAAATCCTCTACTTGATTGTGCACCAGTTGACGTCTAAATGTAGGATCTTGTGTGATTGATGGAGATAAACTGGTGTGAATCAGCCAAAGATTTAAGCTTTACAACATCCTGAACACATCCTGAGGCAGAGGTTTATTTTAACACTTGATGGTTGCTGTTTGTTGACTGTACATGACGCATTCAGGGCAAAAACAATGATCTGAACTGAAATATCCCATTTTTGTCAGCACATGACTATGATCTCCAGCTCCCCAGTATATCATCTTGGCTTTTAAAACGCTTCTGATATTACTATTCTGATATTCTGCTGCTGTTGCATGTAGCCTGTGGAGTTCTGTGGAATTCTGAAGTTTCTTTAACTGTAATTATATGGGAATCAGGTCAATCAGAATCATTATTAGGAGGATTTTTTTTTTTACACTATTCCTGTCCTACTGTTCCCAATAATTCATGTGTGCACTAATGCACCGTATGTGTTATTTTTTCAGTGGCATCCCTGGGAAGAATTGTGGTACAATTATTCTCACTGCAGAGGAACTTGGAAACTGTCGGGTAAGTCAGCAGTTTTACTTTATAATTGTTTTCTCAAACCCTTTTCTCTTCTAAATGCTTGCAACTATTCAGCAGTGAAAACCTTTTCTGAAATGATTCACTTTGATAAGAAAGCTGACTGTTATACTCTTGAAATCAGACCATTCACTGCCTGGTAGCCAAATACATTATTCCAGAAAAAATTAACCGGAATGTGCCTATGTCTGAAATATAAGTTATCTCTACAGACAAAAGGGAAACAACTTCAAAAACCATTTGAATACCAAAGCCATCTTTAAATACTTTTATTTCCATTTTACTGACTAAATGTTATAAAAGCTTAAATAATGGAATAACAGAAGCCATGGTATGTTTAGTCACATGTTTGCATCATTATTTAATACTTCTAACATGCATTATTAACCGTCTTTTACACTGGCCATTTACATTCTGATTAACTAAATAAATAAATACCAGAACATAGGCTTGATGGAGCAGCAGTTGAAAAGTTACTGAGCATTCAGTAGTGAAGATCACTGCAGCATTCCCCATTGGGTACTGTAAGAGCTTTTGATCTAATGCACAGTGAAGGATTTGTTTGTTTCCCTTGTTCTTCTGAATACTTTCAGCTAGTATTTTAAGACCAGCTCTTATTGAACCAAAGGATCATGAAATTGGCTTCAATGTTTTCAAGGAGGAACGAACACGCAATGTAAAATTGCAGCAACTGGTGTCACAGCCTTGAGTGAAAATAATCTTCTTAAAATTGCTTTAAAAAAATCAAAGTCAGATATGGATTGTGTGGCCTCTCTGAACCAATTCAAGGGTAATGGCGTCTTCCCTTAGAAGTCCCCTTCTAAGACCTGTTTGCTCATAACATGTTTTGATAGAGCTGCATTGATTGTCCTAAGGATCTGTAGAGGACCATGCATACGGCATCTAATATTCTGCTCATGCATTTTGAATTTGTTCTGACATCAGTCTTGATTGCTGTTGGATACTGAAGGATCCGAGATATTATCAGTGAATAGTACTAGATGGATATGATGAGAGGATTCTTATAAATGGGAGTGATGGCTTGAAAAAATGATAAGTAATAAAATACTAATTAAGTGGTATTTGAAGATATCTGGTTCTGTAGACATTCATATGGATTGCTGAACATGTATTCTATGGATTCCCCTCTCTACATCAGACCATGTAGTTTTTCCTACAGAATAGTATTTTATTTTTATATACAAAACAATATAGAAATGTGTGCAATTTGTTATATTTATTATATATTTATTTATTATTTTTAATAAAAATATATTTTTTTAACATTTAAATATTTAATTAATCATTTAATGTTTTGATTTAATTACATTTTAAATATCATTAAATGCCCCCCAAAAAAGTATATTTTGCTATGCATTGTCATATGAATCCTCAGGCAGTAATTCTTGAATTCTTGCTTCATTTCAAGTCAGACAGATGTTAATTCAGGATCCACTTTGATGGATTCAGTCAGTTTCTTCAGAGTAAAGGAGTTGAAAAAACTCTTTTAAATCCTTTTGTGGGATTCGTTAAAATAATTGACTCATTTGTTTTGACTACAATACTAGCCAGCAAAATCAAAGAAAATCATGTTTTATTTTGCAGTCCACAGTCATTTTATTTCATCATATTCTCTTTAGGCTGCTTGGTAAAAAAATAACCATTCAATTTGTAGACTCAGTGGAGGAAGTCAAGACAAATAAGCTTCTATCTTCATCCCTCCCATCTCTTTATCATGTCTTCTCACTGGAATGTTCCAGTTTTGTCCCTCTGTCTAGTAAAGTTTACTCTGTTACTGGTGATAGTACTCATTAAATTGCTGGAATAGCAGTGCAGAGTAAATTACAGGTTTTCTGGGTTGTAAATGGCTATGTTGCGTTCACTACAGGCTCAGACACACACAAAGGACTGCTCATTTGAGCCATCTATTGCACACACTCACAGCCTCACTCAAGCTTATTTGAAATGCTCAAAAAGCTTTTCCCCTCTGTGAGGGTAATATATTGGTACATCTGCTTATTTCACATGGTAGATCAAAAGATTTTACAGGATGTTATGAAAGGCTGGGTTTTGATCAGGTACATGCAAAGAACAGCTATGAGGAAATGCACCATGTGGAGACGAACCCTTTACTTAATAGCAGGAATGAGGTTTGCAAATATCTTCAAAAGTCTGTCTCTTTCCAAAAAGTTACATAGATGAATCCCATTCAGAGACCAGATAAAACCTGCAAACCCAAAATAATGAGTGAAATGTTTAATCTCTGAAGAACAATGTGGCCAAAGACAGGTAGCTTGAGCTGTGATGTGAAGCACTTTGACTGACTGTCATTTATGACTTAACTATGCTGTCGTATAAGTTGTGTTTACGGTTGCTAAAGAAAGAATTGCAATCCGCAAGAAGACTGATGCTCATGCTCCATTGCTCAATTCGTAGAGGCTGGATTAAAAACAAGCAGGTTGATATTTCGCTTTTCTCTGCTCAAATTGTTTTCAGCTTGAATTGATCTTGCCACTAAGGTCCTATTCATGGGATCATAATCGCTGTGAATGCTTGGTTTGAATGGGTCTGTTAATCATGTGCAAAGCCCTCCACACACTGTGGTTTAGCTTCAGTCAAGAAACAATTCAAGCAATGTGTAATGAAAGGTGGTGCTCCCTCAGCCGTCAAATATAAGGTGAATTGTCCCTAGAGCGTGGAAATTCCCCTGGCCATTCCCCTGCATGTTCATCAGTAGATATACCATTAAGACTAAGGACTTCGTATCAGTTAGACCTCACACCATACCATTATTGCTAATGAGGGTTGTCTCTATTGTGTTGATAACATCCCTCTGGCCTGAGAAGCCCCTAGCAAGCAGGTTTACGATGATGTCAGTCATTACTGGAGTGTAATTTGCAGTGTCAACTGCACATTGGACATCATGTGAATGATTCCTTTGGAAACGGTCTAGTTCTCTTTCAATCTCTTCTCTCACTCACTCTTCCTCTCTCCTCACTGACTCCAGCCTACAATTTCATCATTCTCTGAATGGCCCTCTCAGTGCAAGATAGTGTTTAGAAGCTAATTGGTTCAAATGGAATTGATGCTTGTTGATGCCAAGCACAAATAAACCATTTGGGCCACAAAATAACCATTTAGGGGCCTCAAACGTTTTTCTTCTTTATCTCAAGAAATTGCAGGTCATAATAAAATTATATTGGTATCTTGATTCATGTGGACTGTTATTTTAGTATTATACTATTGTTTGTCACAATCACCAGCTGGAGTGCTCTTGATGGCCACCAGAGGGCACTCCATCCAGTACCTTTGCCACTGTATCCTGGACTACATTTCCCATAACCCATTGCCCGGACTCATCATGCCTGATTGTTTTCACCTGTTGCTCATTGCCTCTGCCTATACAAGCCTGGTGTTCAGTGATAATGGGAAACCGAGACTTTCTGAACTGTTTATGAAATTGTGCCAAAAAATGGTTCATTACTCAATGCTTTTAACAGTGCACATTAGCGACATCTGGTGGTCAGACTTGGTTTCTCCACCAAATCTAACAAAACATCATGGAGCAGAGGATGGTAGTGATGGGAAACTGAGACTTTCTGAACCATTTGAGGCTTTCATTAAATTGTGCCGAAAAAAGGTTCATTACTCGAAGCTTTTGACACAATGCGCATTAGCGACATCTGGTGGTCAGACTTGTTTTCTCCACCAAATCTAACAAATCAAAGCGGAGCAGAGGATATACGGTTTGCAAAATCACGTGACCATACAGAGCTTTGGAAGTCCGTGACACACAAGAGTGGAATAAATCTGGGATCAGTTCCAACTAATCTGACAATCTCATCTAAATTAATATGTGCCAATGAGACCAGAACTCGTGTCATGTGTAGCCATGTGATCATAGTTAATAATTGACCTAGGTAGCTGAAAAAAATATTTTGGGTGAGCTGTTTGACCTTTATGTTGGGGTCTTTGAGACCCCAGCTATAAAATATGATTCACTATCGGTCCGGTGTTGAGGTTATAGTCCCTTGCATCAGGTGGGGTCACGAAGCGCCAATTTTTTTCAAACCAGCTATCCCGATCTTCCAATACTGCATGATGTTCGAAGCTTCAAACGTCATCAATCACGTGGTATTGTTATTTCGATACAAGCATCGGGACAGTGTGTGATACAATACTGCTTTGAAAACTGCATCGGAGCATCGGAGCCGCTGTATCAACTGTCCCATCACTAGAGGATGGGTTGTGGCTAGAAGGGATACAGCAAAAACCGGAAGCTAACAGTAAATTAAATTCTACCTATTAGATTGTGTTTTATTAACATCTACACCTACCCCAACCCTAAACCTACCCCTTACAATAATGCAAAAATAGTAATTATTGTTGTACAGTGTGAGAAATTACGCTATATTGATGTGCACATGCCCAGTAGTTTTTGCTGTATGCCATCTAGCCTTAACCCAGAGAATGATTTAAAAAACTGTGCCAACTCGACCTTCCGATACTGCATGACGTTCGAAGCTTCAAACATCATCAATCACGTGGTATTGTCATTTCGATACAAGCATCGTCGGCACAGTGTGTGATACAATAGTGCTTTGAAAACTGCATCGGAGCCTCGGTATCAATCGCCTGTATGCCATCTAGCCTTAACCCAGAGAATGATTTAAAAAACTGTGCCAACTCGACCTTCCGATACTGCATGACGTTCGAAGCTTCAAACATCATCAATCACGTGGTATTGTCATTTCAATACAAGCATCAGCACAGCGTGTGATGCAATAGTGTATCGGAGCCTCGATATCAATCGTCCCATCACTAGTTTTCAGTCACTCTTGCAAGTCTTGCATGTGTCACAGCTGCAGTTCTAAGCATTTTATCCTGGTTCTCTCGTGTCCTGTTTTCCTGGTTCTTGATATTCTGCCTGTTTATCTGGATTACTCTGTTTGCCTCAGCTCTGAACTCTGTCATTGTTTGGATTGCTTATTGTGTTTGACCTCATGCCTGTTTTGACTACAGTTGTGGGTTATCCTAATAAACTACTGCACTTGGATCCTCAGCCTTCGTTCATGACATTGTTATTTATATTTTGAATTGGCTTTTGTTTTTATATTTTTTAATTTTAGTTAACATTTTAGTATTTTTGCCACGTTTTAATATTTAAGAAAGAAGAAAGTGACGTGACATGTGGCCAAGTATGGTGACCCATACTTGGAATTAGTGCTCTGCATTTAACCCATCCAAAGTGCGCACACACACAGCAGTGAACACACACCCGGAGCAGTGGGCAGCCATTTATGCTGCGGCACCCGGGGAGCAGTTGGTTCGGTGCCTTGTTCAAGGTCACCTCAGTCGTGGTATTGAAGGTGGAAGAGAGCGCTGTACATCTCTAACCATTAGGCCACGACTTCCCCTTTCTGTATTTAGCTGCCATGGCAACATTTAGTTTTTTTTAAAAACAATAACAACACTGTTTATGTGTCAGTAAAGTGCATAATTATTATAAATGCAGTGATGATCAAATTACATTCTATTCAATATTATATACAATACAACAATAATTAATTTCATATTATTGTCGATAATCATTATACATATTTTTTGATGTGATGAAAAAGACAGAAAATTATGTCCATCAGAATGAAAAAATTACAGTCACAGTGTTGCAGGGGGATGTCAGTATTGACATAGTGTGAAATACTGTGATTAAAAAAGGGCTAGCCATATTTTTTGAGAGCTAAATATTGAGCCACATTCAGGGTCAGTGGAAATTGTGGGAGGATTTGTTCATTAGCAAATTATTTATTTCAGAGTTGTTCAAAGTAGTTATTTTACCTTTAAAACTTCTGAATGGAGTGTAGATGCAGGAGTCCAAAATATATGACTTTATAAAATGTGTGCGCATACAGTATGCGCCTGTGCTGTATAGGCGTGTTGGGGGGTGAATTGTGCCTGAGGGTCCAGAATATCGTCATTCTTCTAAGCTGTGCAAGAAAAAGCCTATGTGTCTCTGATTTCACTAGATTTTGATGCTCTCTGTGCTATTTCTATCTGTTATTATTTTTCTCTTCCCATTCCCCCTTTTTTTTTGTTTCTTTCGTTCTTTCTCTCAATTTCACAGGACTGTGCAACAATGCAGTTCTGTGCCAATAAGCTGGATAAGAAAGACTTCTTTGGCCGCTCTGACCCGTTCATGGTGTTCTACAGAAGTAATGAGGACGGAACGTGAGTTAGTCTTTCTCACTCTGATGTACAGGCTGGAAAGCGTGTCATCTTTTCGTAAAGTAATGTCCAAGGAAAAGTGAAGAAAATTGGTCTGAGACTAAGGAATGTCTTAAAATTGTTCTAGATAATAAAATTCACTTAGTACTCAACTCAGTTAAGGCTTACAATATGCAAATATTCTGACTGTAAAAAATATAGTCATGCAATGCATACTGCTTTGTTTGAGTTTAACATCTTTGTTTTTTGTTTCTTAGTTTCACTATCTGCCATAAAACTGAGGTGGTAAAGAATACGCTGAACCCCGTCTGGCAGCCGTTCACCATTCCTGTCAGAGCGCTGTGCAATGGAGATTATGACAGGTGCACTCACACATACACTCACAGACATGCATGTCAGTATGTACTGTACTGTCGCCAGTTTTTACAGGTCTCTTAGAATCATTTTAGCAATGAGGATTTAACATTAGATTGAGGATAAGAGCCCATTTGTGTGCATGCAGTGTTGTGTGAATTTTACCATGAGAACGCTGTTGTACCTGAACAAGACCCTGTGTATGTGTGTGTCGAGAGGAATCATGCCCCTGTGCTCTTTGATTCAGTAGCACATTGAGCCAGACTGCTGGTACTCATTGCATCAGCATTATTGGATCACAGACAGCCCTGTTCACGGTGCTGCACTGTTGTGATTTATGTGCTCTACAAGGACACATTATTTTTGCTTTGTACTTTCTGTGTTGCAGATATTTGTGTGTTTGCACTGCACTGTTTCTTCGTTGGTCTCCACAGGCCTATGTACTATCCAGTGTGTGTCAATCAGTTTATTGTGTTCATGAATATTTGGTAGGCTATACTTTTGTGTGTGTGTGTGTGTGTGTGTGTGTGTGTGTGTGTTCATTTTCATGGCCTAGGTGAGGCTTGCAGACATGTTGGCAGCTGTGTGTCGTCTGAGAGCTGTCATAGCCAATCAGGACACAGGGAACAGAAGCACCTGCCACCCAGTCCCCACCTTGCCTCTGATCCCGTATGTGTGAAAGAGACCAAGCAAAAGAGAGAAAGAAAAAGAAAAGGGAAACGCCAGCTGTTGTGGTGCTGTGCTAATTATTACCTGCTGCAAGGATGCCAGCAGAGAGGAGTATTTATATTGCAGTTGGGATATATTTTTCAACAAAAAATATCTGTAATAAAAGTTTTATTTTATACAGATCCTGATATATTGGATTGAAGTCAGAATAGGGTCAGTCTGTCAAATTTCAGAAACTAAAAATATGAAATGTCATGGATGAATATTTTCTGGGCTGGAATGACTTTAGAAAGATGGCAGCATCATTATGTTATTTTTACACAGAGATTGGTTGGTCTGTGAGTACAATCTGTTGACTTTAGCTATCTTTGTTACATTAAATGCCAATGGTGACAGTTCATGCAGTTTCCATGCCTCACTCAATGAAGCCTAATTTAAGAAGTATTATAGGTATCTCAGTAATGCTTTTTCCCATTTTTGAACTGTCACCATTGGCATATAATGCAACAAGGATTGCTAAAGTCAACAGATTTTACTGATATACCTATAAATCTCTGTGTAAAAATAAAATGATGCTGCCATCTTTCTAAAATTATTTTCCCCTCTGTAATTTGGCTCAAAATCTCAGGTGAAAAGTTTCATTTTAACCCCCCTTCACAAAATAGTGCATTACACAGAAAATATTTATCTATGGCATTTAATATTTTGGCTTTCTTCTTCTTTTACATATGTATTACACCAGGGGGAAAAAATAGCCATGGAATGACTGAAAAAAAAGCAAATAATCATGATGTTCAAGCAATAATGTGGCAGAGAGTATGATATTTTGTCATTATTTGATTCATTTAAGAAACATCAAATGTGAAAGATTGCTGCTATACTGATGATCAGCTTAGGTTGTGCTGATACGATTCAAAAGCTCAAATTGAGTTTGTTTTTAGCAGCTGTGACCATCAGTGTGCATCTTCTGGGTGTTTATCTTTCTTTTCACAGAAATACCTCTGGGTGGTAGAAAGTTGTGGAAGTTGTTTTCCAGTAGAATGTCATATAAAATAGTTGTTTAGCACTGCAGTTTTTAGTGTATAAATGTGTGCAGAATTTCTAATCAGACTACACATTTTCCTATATTTTTCTAGTGTTTTCTGGTTTGAATTGTGAAGAATGTTTACTATATTTAAAATATATATTTAAAATATTTTAAACTTTTTTTTATCATATTAAAATATACGCTACTGTTCAAATGTTTGGGGTTGGCAAGATTTTTGAATGTTTTTGAAATAAGTGTCTTATGCTAACCAATGCTGCATTTATTTGATCGAAAACACAGTAAAACTAATTTTGTGAAATTTGTTTTTTACAATTTAAAATTACAGTTATTAAAATGCAAAATAACTGTTTTCTATTTGAATCTATTTTAAAATGTAATTTATTCCTGTGATGGCAAAGCTGAATTTTCAGCAGCCATTACTACAGTCTTCAAAGTCACATGATCCTTCAGAAATTATGATTGGCTGAATTGTGTGTAATGTTTTACAGTTGCCTGTTTTTTGTTTATTAATTTTCATCGTAAAATAAATTCAAGCACATCCCTGCATTTTGTCATAACAAGTGTGCAGTGGTGTATAAAGTATCTGAAAGCCATAATCAAGTAAAAGTAAAGATATCTTACCAGAAAATTACTTTGGTAGAAGTTGAAGTAACCGTTTAGAATATTACTCAAGTAAAAGTCGTAAAGTATGTGATATTTATTGTACTTAAGTATGAAAAGTATTTTTTAAATATTAAACGTACTTAAGTATTGAAAGTAAATTTTTTGAAATGATTTTAAAACATTAAAATAGTCGAAATGTGAAATTAAAACCGCCAGTAGGTGACAGAAAGTGACTGTTAATGAGTGAGTCATTGAGATTCAACCGATTCGTTCACACGGCTGATTAATTCAGGCACAAAGTATTTAACTGTGTTAATGAGTGAATCACTGAATCATTTATTCAACCGATTCGTTCAAAAAGCTGATTCATTCAACAAGTAAACACTGTGACACAAAACAGTGCTATGATCTTTGTTTGGAACTATTTTCGTTGGCAAAATTGAACAAAAACAAGCAATATTATGTCTAAAATGTAAGTAATTTATTGCTTTACTGAACTTGTATAAAATGATCATTAAATGTGTTCATGCTGATATCTGCAGGAAAACGGTACTCTTTGTGTGATTTCGATTAAGTTAACTATATTAAATTATATAAATATA